TCCCCCTCCTACAGTGCTCAGGGCTGGAAGACTCAGATGTGTTCTCTCTGATCAGAGCTCAGCCATTCCCTTTGATGTCCAGTGCATAACTGAAGATGTTGACTGAAGTGTTCCACATATTCCAAGGATTTAATTTGAGGTCAAGTTTTTCCCAGAAGCAATATCTCAACAATCCTAGAATCTGAGTGRTGGGTTTATGAGGATTCATTAAACTGTTCTCTACTTTTGCATATATTTGAAATTTTCACAATTAAATATTTCAGAGGTCATGTTTGGCTCCCTGCAGAGTGTGTCCCACTTTGGAAAGACCGAGTGGTCAAAGAAGCACATGAAGGAGCGATGGGAGCTTGGTAAGTCCTATGAATGGGGAAATTCAGGCATTTGGTTTGGAGCACAGCTCTAAACTCAGGGAGCAACAGGGCAGAGTCAACGTGGTATTGGCTCAGAGGAAGCTTCAGACCTAAGTAATTTTGCCCCCATCCTTAGCCCTTTTTATTTCTTATTTTGAGACAGGGTCTTGCCGAGTTGCTTAGGGCCTCACTGAGTTGCTGAGGCTGGCTTTGAACTCGTGATCCTCTTGCTTCAGCCTCCCAAGTCCCTGGGATTATAAGAGTGAGCCACCATGCCTGGCAATTTTGCCTGTTTTGACAGAAGTATTCTTTGTACTCACACCCCAACATACCATATGAGTTAAACACACTGAATTTTACTCAAATAGTCCCAATTTCATACTGATATTAAGGCATCACATAAGTGTTCTAGGATTTGAATGAAGTCTTAAAAGATAACTAAAGAGGTATGGTAGTTTATTCAATTGCATCAAGCCATATCTATCTGTTCTAGTATCATCCATGGTCACAAAGATGAAAGAGACCAACCCAGATCCTGACATACTGACCTGCTGGTAAGAATCTAACTCTGTTTTTGTTATAAGAAAATAAATCCCCTGTTATTAAAGCCAYTTTTAGTTAATATGACATTGTGAATAATAAAAAAAATTTACATCTGGCCTCTGCCCTGTTTCTGCCATAAAACTTCTAATCCCTTTGAATTTCCAGGGTGATAGGAGGGTCTTCTGTTCTAATGAGGTGACTCCTGGTTGGAGGCTGGTCACCAGAAAGATCAGGCCGTGATTAAAAGCTTGGAACTTTCAGCCCCATTCCTAGCTTCCTGGAAGGGAGAGGGGCTGGAGATTGGGTTAGTAATTGATCACGCCTACACAAGAAGCCTCTATAAATATTCCTGCATTCCAGGGTTTGGAGAGCCTCTCAACTGCTGTATTGTGTGGGAGCCTAGAGATGTCACGGAAGCTCTGTGATCCGTCTCCCACACCTTGTCCTATGTACCTCTTCATCTGCCTGCCCGTGTGTATCCTTTATAATAAATCTGAAAATACAAATGTTTCCCTGAGGGTCCAGGCAACCTTGTTTTATGGCTGTTTGGCCAGAAGTACAGGTGACAACCTACTWCTTGTAATTGACATTTGAGGTGGGGGTCAGTGTTGTGGAACTGAGTCCTTACCCTGTGCAATCTGACTTTAACTCCAGGTAGCTAGTGTAAGAATTGAAATGAATTATTGGTCACCTATTTGGCATCTGCTAGAGGGTTGCTTGGTGTAGAGAAAAAMCTCCATAAATCTGTGTCAGAAGTGATACACTGAGTTGGGTGTGTGAGAGTAGCAAAAAYAGTCTGTTAGCTGGCTGTAGTTATAGTCCGTAATCCTGCAATCCCAGCTACTTGAGGCTGAGGCAGGAGGGTCTCAAGTTCGAGGCCAGCCTCGAGCTTGCAATTTAGTAAGACCCTATTTCAAAATAAAATAAAAAGGGTTGGGGAGGCTGAGACAGGAAGATCACAAATTTAAAGTCAGCCTCAGCAAACGTGAGGCCCTAAGCAACTCAGTGACTCCCAGTCTCTAAGTAAAATACAAAATAGGGCTGGGAATGTGGCTCAGTGGTGGAGTGCCCTGAGTTCAATCCCTGGTACTCCCCCTAAAAAATAAAATAAATAAAATAAAAAGGGCTGGGGATGTAGCTCGGTGATAGAGCACCCCTGGGTTCAACCTCTAGTATTACCAAAAAAGAGTTTTGTGGGGTTTATTTTAACATAAACAGATGTATATAAAATTATTTCTGAATTAGACCTCTTTGGTCATAAGTAATAGAAACCCATATTGAATCAGTTAAAGTAGGAAAATACGGTAAATCCAAAGGATGCTGAAGGATTGGCTCATAGAAAGGATAGTGGCAAGAACGAGGGCATCTCCAAGAACGTGGAGCTGGGGACCAAGGATGTTTGCATCTTTCTGAGTGATGGCTCCATTTTCTTGGCTTTTCATGTAGCGAAGGACATGGCTGTTGCCTGTGGGGATGTTGTCTCATTTTATAATGACCTGACCACACTTCAACATAAAAGTTCCAGGGAGGGACTGTCATTGGCTCAGTTTGGATCCTATACTCATCCTGGATCAGTCACTGTGGCCAGAGGGATGGGGTAAGTCTGAACCATCTGCTCAACCCTATGGTCAGGGATGGAATAAGTGGGGTATACTACTGTTGTGAAATCACCTGATTCCAGTGTATGAGAACTGGCCCCAAGCTACCATGAGACCAAAGAAAGAGGCAGAGAGACGCAGGATTACACAGAGTACAATTTATTGGGGACTTGCTGACAGAAGTATGGTCCCTGGGCAACAGCAAGATCAGGTAGATCCCTGCGATTTGGGTCAGAAGACGGGGACTTATAAAGTGGTCAAGAACAAGCCTACTTCATCCAAGACAGAATGTACCTGTTTTATATCAGGCTAATATCAAAGAGCCAGGCACATTCTTAATGCCAGGRTTCAGTTCTAAAGCTACACATACCACTGTAATGGTCGTGTGTATTTATAGCCTGCTGGAAAACTATTCATGGAACACCAACCAGGGTTACTCAGGGGCAATCACGGCTGTTATGACTCAAGATGGCTGCAGTCAGGTCAAACTGAATACATATAGTTATCAAAAGGGAGAGGCGTGCTGGCCACACAAATAGCCACCACACAGTGACCATAATCCTGGTAGTCAGGCAAAGGCACTTAGAAGGGAAAGCAAAAAGGGAAGCAGGGGTGGGAGGGGGTATCATTGTTGCTCAGTGCCCAGGCTCAGAGGCACAAAAGTCTGGATTTTATCCTGCTTTCCCTAGCTGTGTGAACTATGAGGAGTTTCTTAACCACTCTGTGCCTCACATTGTTCACCTTGTCAAAGATGAAACCTGGGTAAGAATGATTTCATTCCGGCTATTGAAAAAGGGAGAACATGGGGCTGGGGTTGTGGCTCAGTGGTAGAGCACTTGCCTGGCAAGTGTGAGGCACTGGGTTCAATTCTCAGCACCGCATACAAATAAATAAAAATAAAGGTCCATTGACAACTAAATATATATTTAAAAAAATAAGGAGAACAGCCCAAATCTGAATATCTGTCTGCACAGGATGGTTTTACATTAGACTTGTATAGGGAGGGGTGAACAGGTTACAGGTGGGCTGATTTGTGGTTGAGATGGTTTAGCCATCAGTGGAAGACTAGGGCAATTAGCTGATCTAGAAATGTTTATCTTTGTGTCTGAAAAGTTTTGGGGGCAGAGGTTCAAACAGTTCTGATCTCAGCTAATTGACCACATGACAAAGAATAAGAAGTTGAAAGGTCTGTTTTTGTTCTTATTGCAGGTAAATAAGGGAGTTTCCTGTGAGTCTCATGGGATTCATGAGGATTCCATAAGGATTGTCTCTTGGAAAAGACAGTGTCTTATTCAAGTCACAGGTAATAGAAGATAGTTTTTTTTTTTTTTTAATTTTTAGTTGTAGTTGGACACAATACCTTTATTTTATTTGGTGCTGAGGATGGAACCCAGGGCGCGGTACATGCTAGGTGAGCACTCTATCGCTGAGCTACAACCCCAGCAACAAGTAGTTCTTTTGGTAAGCTTTTTCCCAGAACACAAAAGCGAGAATTTCTAATTGTAGCTGTTTTCCAGGAGCACAGGGTTTAGGTAAAGTACAACACAGACAATCTGTAAAATGCTGAAACTATGATCCATCCTATAATTAAGATGTGAAATAAAGAATCTGATTTGCTTAGCATGATACTGGGTATAGGGTTGCATATTTAGCAAATGAAAATACACAATAATAAAATGTGCTATGTGCATCATAAAATAAGGCAATACTTGGGATATACTTATATGAAAAAGTTATCCAAAATTTAACTGGGAGTCCTTGGAAGTCTCCAACTTGGAGGCACGAAGGTGGAAACAAGGAGCTGCAAACCACAGAGCCTCCATACCTGGAAGGGTGGGGGGATTTTCTCCTCTTAGGGCCACCTCCCCAGCCTTTGGCCCAGAGTTGGCCACCAGCAGATGGTCACTGAGTTCTGCTTAATTTTAGTTCAAAAGCACCAGGTGCAAATATCTGCGTTCCCTTTTTGTTTTTCAAAACTCAAATTTAACATGGACAACGAAACAAAAAAGTGTCTCAATATTCCTGGAAACTGCTGCAGTGGCATGGAACCCTGGTGCCCGGGGCTTTAAGGCAGATCTCGGGTTCTGTGGTGGCCCCAGGCATCCTGTAAAGGGGAATAACCAGGCCTACTTCTCTCTCCTGGGAGCAGAGTTTACTGTCACCTCTGTGTTTTGTTCTAGGACACGGCGAGCTCCCTGCGCTCGGCGGTTCACCCTGCTCCGGCTCAACCCCGAGCCCCGCACAGCTCCTGGCACCGTCCGCGGGATGAATGAATGAATGAGTGAGTGAGTGAATGAACGAACGAACGGTCGGATGGACGGATGGACAGACAGTTCTCGAAGGCCTGGAGACAGCGCGCGATGACCAGCCGACCATCTCGAAGCGCAGCCTCGCTTCCACCGCCCGGGGCGCTCGGCCGCCGGCCTTTCCTCCCAGGCTGCTCAGCGCAGGCAGCGTCCTGCGTGATTGGCTGCGCCGCCCCACGTGACTCTAAGCCGGCGGCGGCGGTTGCCCGGGTGACGGCGGGAGAGGTGTCCACGGAGCAGCTGGTACGGAGCAGCTGGTAAGCATGTCCTCCGACGCCGCGGGGTCACCCGGAGCCTGCGGTCCCCGGGCGGGGAGGAGCCGTGGTGCGGCCGGAGAGCTGCTGACCCCTCGCCCCCGGGAAAACCCCGATGCCCCCGCCTCTCGCCTGAGCCCTCGGCCCGAGGCGGCCGCCGGGAATTCCAGGGACCGGGCCCCTGCTTGCCGCAAGTAGTCCCTGATCTTTGCTTCCGCGGCCAAACTTGGAGCGGGTCCCGCAACTTGGAGGGCGGCCGGTGCGGGTGGCCTGGGCTTTAGGTCCCTGCCACCTCCGTAGTAGCTCCCCTCCTCAGGCGCCCAGGTTAAGCCCAGACTTCATCTAACCCCAGCGGACGCGATGCTTGTGTGCAGATTAGTTTTAYGTACAGATGCCATAGCCTCCCCCGATCCGGCCAGTTGGTAGGCCCTACGTTTCTCTCATAGAAATTCAGAAGCCGCTATTGCAAACCCCACCCGTGACTGGAATTTCTCCTACTTTTGCATAAAGCAGAGTCCTGGTTCTCAAACTTGAGTGTGTGTGGAAGGCATCCAAGGAGCTCGTTTAAAAGGCAGATTCTGGCCTTCCTGCCTTGGTGCTCAGTAAGAGCAGGCTCGGGCAGGAATTTTCATTTGCAAAAGCACCCCAGGCTTAGAATCCCTAAAGAGCATGTTGTGTGGGGAATAACCTGAGTTCAGTATCAGCAGGGCGAGCTGGAGGGAGCAGGGAGAGGGATGGGGTGAAGGCTGGAGAGATGGGTGGGCTTTAGACATGAACTAACTTTCTTTTCCCACCTTATGTGCCTGTCAGGACTGGAGGACGTGTCCTGTTGCTGCTTTTGGATCTCCAGCTTTTTTGTTCACATCCCCCTTTCCCTCTGAARTTCATGCTGTGCTCTGTGACACTTGCCACCCCTCCTTAAGGCAGTCATTTCCAGGGCAAGTTGCCAAGTTTCCTTCTCCACTTTTTCTACTTCCTTTTTGGAGATTTCAGCTTCCTGGCTTCTCTACTTTCCTCATCCTCCTCAGCTATGGGCATCTTTTCCCTCCATCCTCATCCACTTGCTCCTGTGGTTGTGAGCTTTTTATTACTATGTCACCTCCAAAATCTTGACTGCCATCGTGCCTCCCCCTCTCTGACCACACCTTGTGTCTTCCAAGCTTCCATTTGCCTTACTGTGCCCCCTTTGCAGAGCATTTACCCATCACCTTTTCACTGTCTAAGCTCCGTTACTGGCCTCCTTTGCCTCCATTCATAACCCAGCTTAGCTTAGGTGCCCACTCACTGTTAATCTTGTTTTCCTTCTTTCTGTTAGAAAGTTAGCTTCACCTGGTGAAGCTAACTCAGACCTTTGAAAGTGCGGGGAGGGCTGGGGATGTGGCTCAAGCGGTAATGCACTCACCTGGCATGCGTCCTGCCAGGTTCGATCCTCAGCACCACATACCAACAAAGATGTTGTGTCCGCCGAGAACTAAAAAAAAAAAAAATATTAAAAATTCTCTCTCTCTCTCTCTCTCTCTCTCTCTCTCTCTCTCTCTCTCTCTCTTTAAAAAAAAAAAAAAAGAAAGTGCCGGGAGCCAGTCTTCAGGCTAGGACCACTTAGATTGGAGTCCACGCGTCTTCAGTGGACTCCGTGATAGAAAGCCTGCCTTACTGCCATAGTCACCTCCCTTCTCTCCAGACTGCCAGCATACTTCCTCTCAGCCAGTTATCTTATTTCTTGTTCTACTTCTCTTCACTGTGTTCCTTTCTTTGCTCACACCCATATTCTCCCCATGCTTATCTTCAGCTCCAGACACAGATATCCACCAAATTTTTAGCACCTCCACTTGTTTATTATTTTTTTAATTTTTTGTTTTTTGGTACAAGGGATTGAACCACTGAGCCCTTTTAATTTTTTGAGACAGAGTCTTGCTAACCAAGTGGTTCAAGGCCTTGCTAAGTTGCTGAGGCTGTCTTTGAACTCATAATCCTCCTGCCTTAGCCCCCTGAACCTCTGGGATTATAGATGTGTGCCACCGTGCCTGGCTTCCACTTGGTTTTTTTTTTTTTTTTTTTTTTTTTGTGGTGCTGGGGATTGAACCCAGGGCCTTGTGTATGCGAGGGAAGCATTCTACCAATTGAATTATATCCCCAGCCCCCACTTGATTTGTAAATAGTCCTCTCAGACATATAGCCACACACATTGCTTGATTTCATCTCTGATCAGGGGGCTCTGTCCCTCTCCAAATTTTTCTGTCTCAGCAAATTTCATACCATTCATCAGCTGCTCAGACCAAGCTGCCAGTCTCCACTTCCCCTATCATCATGCACCCAGTCCCCAGCAGGTGAGCACTTCTGCCTTTAACATCTGGAGTCAGAACATGGCCCCTGGCTTCTATTACTCAGGAAGCCTACACTAGTCTCTGGTGTGCATCTTGGGATAGCATCCTCCAGCCCTCCRTTTTTGGTCCCTGCAGTCTCTTCCCTGAACATCAGACATCAGGTTGGTCACAAAATGGAAATGCAGTTGCATCAGTCTTCCTCATCGCTCCCTCTGGGCATTCGATTGCCTCAGACTAATGGTCAAGCTGCTTACTGACCCCGTTAGGCCCACCTTCCCTGGCCCCTGGCTCCTTACTGCCTTCTGTTGTCTATCTCGCTCATCTCTTGCTATACCCCAGCACCGAAGCACTCCAGAGCCCTTCTGCCCAAGGTCTGTGTAGAGTTGTAGAGTCCTTCTTTTCAGTACTTAGTCTTTATTTTTTGGGGGGTGGGTACCAGGGATTGAATCCAGAGGTGTTTTATCACTGAGTTACGTCCCTAGCCTTTTTTTTTTTTTTTTAAAGACAAATCTCGCCAAGTTACTGAGGCCTCACTAAGTTGCTGAGGTTGGCCTTAAACTTGTGATCYTCTTGCCTCAGTCTCCTGAGTTGCTGGGATTTACAGGCACCACTGCCCCTAGCAGGGCTTAGTCTTTATTCAAATGTTACGGGCCCAGTGAGGCCTCTCTGACTACCCCGTCTAAAGTAATCTCATTGTCTAAAGTAATCTCATTTCTGTCTCCTCTAGGCTCTGCTTATCTTGTTTTCTTCAGACCTAAAGTTATTTCTGCTCCTTCGTGAGTGTTYTTGAGCACCTACAATGTGCCAGGCACTGGTCTGGGCACTGGGGATGCCAGGGAAGCCTGTGTTCTCAGGATCCATGGCTTGGTGCAGGGGAAGAGCAGACAGTRAGCAGGTGCGTCACTGAGAAGATGTGGAAGTCAGAGCAGAGGCCAGGAGATGACCACTTAGAGGGTGGTCAACAGGTGTCTCAGGGGAGATGTTTAAGCAGATACTTGAATGAACTATGGATATCTGCAGCCAGGGTAGTGAGGTAGAGGAAATAGCTCATGCAAAGCATGTGCTTTGGGTGTCCAGTGGCTGTCTGTGTCCACTGGAACTGCAGGGTGGCCAGTGTGGCTCAAGTCTGTACAACAAAAGGGAGAATATAAGAGGCCAGGCTGTTAAATGCTTAGAGAACTRGGTCTAGGGAGTCTGGCTTCATCTGTAGGGTCCTGAGCAGGAGGGAAAGTAAGTCCCTGTTCCTGGTGCAGAGATTGGAGTAAAGTGAAGAGRGGAGGTGGAGAGATGAAGTCCCCAAGACAGTGATAGTGAGATAGAGCAAGTGGGGGACAGCTACTGAATTTAACCTCCCTGTGTTCAGATAATTCTGACCAAAKGTACTGGCAGAAAAGGGTCAAGTTCAGGCTCATACATCTTAGAACTGGAAGAGATCTCATAATTTCTGTTTTGTAAATGAAAAAAGGCTCTAAGTTTCAGTGATTTGCCAGTGAATGGCACAGTTAGTATTGGGACCCCACCTTCTTTAATTCCTTAGGGTGGTGGCACCCAGTTGGGGTAAGTGGTGGGCCGCAGGCAGGCTGTTTGCGTGGCTTGGAGAGGGAGGGCAGACAGTGCTCTCGACCTCACTATTGTGCTTCCTTCTGCTGCTGTGATGAATTCTCATGAACTCAGTGGCTTGAAGCAGAGCTGGTTTATTTTCTTACAGTTCTGGAGATCAGAAGTCTGAAATGGKCCTCACTGGCTAATCAAGGTGTTGGTGGGGCTGTTCCTTTGTGGAGCTATGGGGRAGAATCCATTCCTGCCTTTTCCGGCTTCCGGAGGCTGTCCTGCTTCCTTGTTCCTTGCGCTTCCTCCATCTCCAAAGCCCACAGTGGCCAGTTGTGTCTTTCTCCATCTCATCATGCTGACACTCGCCCCCCCTGCCTCCCTCTTGCTCTCGACGCCCTCAGTGATCCTCTTGGGGCTGCCTGATGATCCAGGTCAGTCCCTGTCATTGAAGGTCCGTTGATTACCCATCTTAATGCCTCCTTGCCATGTCGCCWCCCATATTCACAGGCTCTAGGGATTGGGACATGGACATCCTGGGGGCCATTATTCTGCCTATCACAGCCACCCTTTTGGACTTCTCAGGTGATTGAAGTGAAACCTTGTCTTATGTTTTTGCCTTGTAGACTTTTGCTGAGAGAATTCCTAGTAACAGTTCACTATGGGGGATATTTTGGCTCACGAATCTGAATTACTTGGACTAGTAAAAGAGGTAGGTATGTTATTTAAAACACGGGTCACAGAAAAATTTGTATTTTATCTAATAAAAAAAATTTTTTTTTGTCGTAGATGGACAGAATGCCTTTATTTTATTTGTTTATATTTATGTGGTCCTGAGGATCGAACCCAGTGCCTCACACATCCTAGGCAAGCACTCTGCCTCTGAGCTACAGCCCCAGCCTCTATTTTATCTAATTTTTTAAAGTTAAAAAATATTTTTGGTCCTGGGTATTGAACCCAAAGGCATTTTATTTTTGAGCTACATCCCCTGTGTGTGTGTGTGTGTGTGTATGTGTGCCATGGAGCTACATCTCTAGCAAATTACCTATATTTTAATGATTTATATTCTCCTGTTCTTAGGTACATACATGATTTCTGATTCCATCTGTTTCAAGTAACAAATTCCCAGGGACCTACTGTATCCAAATCCATCAGGTCTTCTGCTGATCCCTTTCACCTCTTTGAAAATGTTGCACAAGTCTTTTTTTTCTATTAATAATTAATAGCGGGCTGTGGCTGTGGCTCAGTGGTAGAGTGCTCGCCTAGCATGTGCGTGGCCCTCTCAGTACCACATAAAAATAAATAAATAAAATAAAGGTATTGTGTCCAACTACAACTAAAAAATAAATATTAAAAAATAATAATTAATAGCAAATCATGTAGCTCACACTTTCTTCCTGAAAGCAGCTTTATTTTCTGAAAGAACATTTTCTGTGATACTTTTTTTCTAGGCTTTTATAGTGCATACTTATAAGTAAATTTTAAGCAGAATCCCATATTCTCCTAAAGATAGCAGTTTACTAAGTTCTTTATAAATTCATTATAATATTGAGCTGATACAATAATATCAGACAGTTACATGTTGATATGAAAACAGAAATATATGTACAATACATGTACAATGATGTTCTTTTTTTAAAATTATTAAGGCATAGCTGCCAAAAATGTGTATATTTAAGGTATAGAACTTGATTTTTTTTTCTTTTTTTTTTTGGAGTACTAGAGACCAAACCCAGTGCCTTTTACTTGGTAGGCAACCACTATACCACTGAACCATATCCCCAGCCCTAGAACTTGGTGTTTTGGTATGCATTGTGAAATGATCACCACAATCAAACTAATTAATAAATAGTTAACTGGGTTTTTCATTTGTTTTGTTTGGTGGTGAGAACACTTAAAAATCTATTTTCTTGGCAAATTTCAGGTATACAGTGGTTCCCTATAAGTAGTAATGTTGAGCACCTTTTCATATACTTGTTGGCCTTTGTGTGTCTTTGGAGAAATRTCTGTTCAGGTCCTTTGCCTGTTTTTAAATTGATTATTTGTGTGTTTTTTTTTTCCTGCTGAGTTTTATGATCTCTTTTATAGTATTTAGATTTTGCTGAATTTGAAGACACCTTGAAAACATTTTCAAAAGAATGCAAAGTAAAAGGAAAACCGTTATGTAAAACAGCAGGTGGATCTTTAAGGGACTCTAAATCATTGATTATTCAGGTAACATTTTGCTTATTTTTCATCTCTGTAGAGAATTAAGGTTCTCCCAACTTGCAGCATATTGAATAATGATGGAATCATTTCTGGGGACTTGCCCAGGATTACTTTAGACCATGTGAATGTTTATAGGTGAATTAATTGCATCATCTTTAAATCTCTGTTCCCTACATAGGAAAGGTGTGGCCAAATAAGAACTTTCATATTTTGGGGGAAGAAGAAGAAGAAACTATAGGAACCAGAATAGTGTTATTTCTATCCTGAGATTATTAATCTAGGTACTGGGGGTGGAGCATTGACAACCAAAGCAGAACCAGTCCTCTGCCTCACAGTGCTTTGGGAGATTGAAGGGGACCAGGAGCAAGAGTGATAATGACAAGGCAGTGTCCTACCACAAAGAAAGCCTGAGGCAGCTCTGAATACCAGCAGGCTGCAATGAGCACAGAGATTTGGAATTTTCCAAGGATAGAAAGGACCTTAAACTCCTCATTTCATCATTAGATGCCTCAGTTCCACTTGTACCATTTCGGGTGTGATCATTTCACCTTGAATGTTGCCAGTGACAAGAGAACAAGTGATACTGACAAGGAAGCCTGTATCACCTTCAGGTGATATTATTATTGTTGTTGTTGTTGTTGTTGTTGTTATCATTATTATTATTTTTGTACCAGGGATTGAACTCAGGTGCATTCGACCACTGAGCCACATCTGCAGGCCTTTTTTGTATTTTATTTAGAGACAGGGTCTCCCTGAGTTGCTAAGCACCTTGCTTTTGCTGAGGCTGGCTTTGAACTCTTGATCCTCCTGTCTCGGCCTCCCAACTCACTGGGACTTCAGGCATGCGCTGCTGCACTTGGCTGAAGTGTGATATCTTGAGATTCTGATTTACATTTCTCTGATGTCTTCAGGTCCATTTTTATGTAACTTGAAAGACCTTGAATTTTTCTTTTCTTTTTTTGGCATATGGGGGATTGAATTCAGGGGCACTTGGCCACTGAGCCACATCTCCAGCCTATTTTGTATTTAGAGACAGAGTCTCACTCGCTGTTGCTGAGGCTGGCTTTGAACTTGCAATTCTTCTGTCTCAGCCTGGTGAGCCACTGGGATTACAGGCATGTGCCACCATACCTGGCTATGACCTTGAAATTTTTGATTGCCACAGACTATCTTTTCTGCTCCTCCAGTTAGTAATTGTGCCCCACTGGAGTAGATCCACAAATAAAAATACACAGAGCAGTTGAACAAAATATGTTGTCAGGGACCTTCAACAAATGGCGTTTCCCTGGGCACAGTGCTTTAAGAAGTATGTGTTGATGAGTTATTAGTGGTGCCCGGTGGTATGCACGTTTTCTCATCTTGTTGATTCTGGCTCTGATTGTGGTTTACAGAAGATCATTAATAGTTTGTGATCTCATACTTACAGTGGATTGCTTTACACATAAGGAAAATTTAATTACAAGGACTATTTCTAGGTATAAAATCTGAATCATAAATTGGAGTGGATGGTAATTATCCTAGTGTGTTTGAAGTATTACACTTCAAACACACTAGGATAATTACCAATGAACATAACAGAAAATAACAAATTGGAGTRGATATCTAAGCCTTGTGGTTTTAGGACTAAAAATGGAGTTTAGAACAAAGTGTAGATGAGCCATTTGACATGTGGGCTCTGGTAAGCCATGTTAAGAAAATGTCATGACCAGGCACAGTGGCACTTGCCTATAATCCTAGCAGTTTGGGAGGTTGAGGCAGGAGGATCATGAGTGTRAAGCCAGCGTCAGCGGTGAGGCCGGAAGCAACTCACTGAGACACTATTTCTAAATAAAATACAAAATAGGGGTGGGTATGTGGCTCAGTGGTCAGGTGCCCCTGAGTTCAGTGCCTAGTACCTCTCCCCCCAGAAAAAGGGAAGAAAGAAAAGAAAATACCATGATTCTGGGCCTTCAAATTCCATGGGAGTCTGTGCTCTCCTCATTCACATAGAGAGCTCTTGGTCTGCGATGCTCAGGGTAAAGGCCTCCCCTGGAATGGCTCGAAGGGTTTGCTTGGGAGCACATCAGAGATGAACTTGGTGCTGAGCCAGGCCCAGCAGCACTGCCTCTGGGAAGATCCTCTTTGCCGTTATATCATTCATTCACAAGAGTGTGGAGCTTCTGCCCTGGGTCCCCCAGTGTCTCCCAAGAAGGGCTGTGCTCGGCTATGTGCTTTGTCCTGGAAGCCCCCACCCAGAGTTGTTGTAAGCTGCCCTTGACCTGTTTCAAGGCTGAGCAACAGAAAGAGGCTGGCTTGGAGGAGGTGGAAGTTCATTGGAGTCTCATTTGGGAAAGTTCTGAGTTTATGTTCAATGTATGCAGATACTTCCTGCAGTAATGCAGGTTTCCGAAACAGTAGTTCTCCATCACATGATATGGTGACAGTTTTTGTAAAAGTCACATTTGAAGAATCCTTATTAGTGAATGTYCTTGACCTAAGTAAGTATAACCAGACACTGTGACCTTGTTCTCTGTACATTTCCATTTTATAATGTTAATAAACTTGATCATAAATAAAACAAGTAATCTAAAAATGATAATTATGTAGGAAAATCATATCTAAAACCRTTTTTGAAAGTATAAAAAGAATAATGGCCAAATAATGGGCAGTCTCTTGGGGTTTTGTATTTCTACTTCCTGCTTCCGAAGAGGGGTGTGTGGGGTGTCTGTAGTATTGGCTGGGCTATGAGGGGTTTGAGTGTTGGAAGAACAAGTGTCCTTCATAATTCTTGATCAGTCTGATATCCTCTCTGCAGAAGGATCTCGTGGCTGCCTTTGATGGTGGAGACCAGAAGGTGTTCTTCGATTTGTGGGAGGAGCATGTTCCCAGTTCCGTYCGAGATGGTGACTCCCTTGCTCAGAAGCTGGAATTCTATCTTCACATTCATTTTGCCATTTATCTTCTGAAGTACTCTGTAGGGAGGCCGGTGGGTTGGCTGTGGTTGGTGGGTGGGCAGGGGTGGGCGGAGGTTGGGGAGGGTTGTCAGCTCTTCCATGTTCTTAGTTCTGTCCTCTTTCATCATTCTGCTCAAAAGGTGCAGCATCTTGTGTCTTGAGAAGTTATTTTCCACCTCATTCCCAGCACTTTATTTTCTAATTTATATGGAGATTTAATAATTTCTGTAATCAAATTTTTATCTAAATACTTCAAGTTTTTGAAAAACTCATCAAAATAGCTTAGTGTATATATGCAGACTTCTAAAAGAACACATCTTTGGGCCGCATATTAGGAAATAAATTTAAACACAAGTTGTAGGGGAATAGTTTGCCTATTTATAGAGTGCATAGGAATGACAGGTTGAATTGAGCTTCCGTGACCTTTTCCCGGTAGGGTGGTAGGGTGGAGGGCTGAAGTGTCAAGCCCTGGGGTGGATGAGCCTTGTAGTTCAGAGGAAGTGCTGGAGAGGGAGCAGGCCAATTGATCTGTGGTCATGCACGTTAACACTGCCCTGGGGACCTGTGTTAACTCAGAACGTCAGGGGCCCCAAAGGAAGGGGCAGTGATGGAGGGAGGGGCATTACGGTACCTTGCAGTACCCTTTCTTGGAGTCTGTTCTTTAAGATATTACTCATGTGGGGAAGGTCATGGGAGACTTTTATTATTTGTTTTTRTTTCTATTTTTAAATTTTTCTGTTTTGATGTAAGAAAAAAAAATCAACGKCATCCATTTTTTAAGATGGGTTGGAAGAGGGCCACGTACAGGTTCAGTGAGGTGTGCCCATGAGAACAGCAGCTAGKGTGTGCACAAGGCCACAGGCTGAGGGCTGTAACTTGTGGGTCCCCTGAGGTCACGGAGGAAAACACCAMATCCAGCTCTCTGTGCTCATCAAGGTCCAAGAGAAAGAGGAACCCTGAGACGGGAACTGAGGAGCACTGGGTTGCATGTGGAGCAGGGAAGTGGGGCAGGATCAGCCCCTAGATGGATAGAGTAGTGACAGGGGTACTTAGCCTTCAAGAGCCTATGGAGATACCTGCTCCCCTTAGAATCATGGGAATGCAGACAGATGTTCATGAATGTCTGTAAAGTGGAAACGGTGGGTATGTCTAATAATGGGAGAACTGCTCAAAGTAGGAGAGATTCGATGAGATTTTGTCTTTTCACTAAAAATGATGTTCATGAAGAATTTGGAGGTCATATTAAATTGGTAAAAATGAAGTTAAAAAGTAGTGTCTTGAACTATTCATACAATTTTCTGGCATTTCTGTTAAAGTTTCACTAGGGGTAAAGTTGAGGTGATGTTAGAATGACTGGAGACAGTGTGCCCACCAGGCCAGATGGGGACAAGGCCAGTGACAAGGAGCCTCAAGAGCAGATGGGTGAACGGGGGACCATTGTGGAGCTAGAAACCTCAAACAAGTATCTCCCTGCTCTAGGACAAGCAGGAACTGGATGAACGGATTTCTTATTTCAAAAACTACCTGGAGACGAAAGGGGCAGCGTTGAGCCAGACCACCGAGTTCCTTCCTTTCTATGCCCTCCCTTTTGTGCCCAACCCCATGGTACACCCTTCATTCAAAGAGCTCTTCCAGGTAAGCGGCAGCCTTTACACCTGTGGCTTCACTTTGTGTAAGCTTCTGGTTTCTGAATTATACTTTAGAAAACTAAAGTCTGCTGTTGTTATTATTATTATTATTATTATTGGTACTGGGGATTGAACTCAGGGGCACTTAACCACTGAGCCATATCCCCAGCCCTTTTTTGTATTTTATTCAGAGAYAGGGTCTCACTGAGTTGCTCAGGGCCTCGCTAAGTTGCTGAGGCTGGCTCTGAACTTGTGATTCTCCTGCTTCAGCCTTCTAAGCTTCTGAGATTACAGGTGTATAGCACTGCACCTGGCTGCTCTCATTATTATTTTTCGTAACCCTAATTTATTCATCCTCTTTTGGGTGGTTAGTTATATTTGGTGAGTGTTTGATTTAATTTTCACTATCCTGTACTAGCTGTGGCTCGTGTTCTTGTACATACTTATAAAGCTCGTAATAGCAAGAAYTAGCAGTGCCCCATAGTACATCAGAAGGAACATGCATAAATAAATTGTGTAATGGTCACACAATGGAATACTGTACATCTAGGAGAAAGAACGAACTAACCGCACAATGATATAGCCTTGAGTATGCCATAAACAGAGAGGACATGTTATAGTTTCTCTTTGTAGATAGATCAAAGCAAACAAAGGTAGTTTTTAGGCCAGCATATACCAGTGTTCAGTTTTAACAGAGAGCAAGGATTCTTACCTGCTTGCTTGACAAATTTTTTTAAAGTTTTATTTTTTTAGATGTTATATAGTAAAATTAACCTATTTTTTTAAAAAAGGTTTTATTTAGTTGTAGTTGGACACAATGCCTTTATTTTATTCATTTATTTTTAAAAAATTTATAATTTTTTTAGTTGTAGATGGACATAATATCTTTATTTTTTATGTGGTTCTGAGGATCGAACCCAGTGTCTTCCACAGGCGAAGTAGGCACTCTGCCACTGAGCTACATCCCCAGCCCTATTCATTTATTTTTATGTGGTATTGAGGACCGAATCCAGACCCTTGCACGTGCGAGGCAAACATTCTGCCACTGAGCTACATCCCCAGCCCTATTCATTTATTTTTATGTGGTATTGAGGACCGAATCCAGACCCTTGCATGTGCTAGGCAAACGTTCTACCACTGAGCCACAACCTCAGCCCTAAAGTTAACTTTTGGTCATGTGTGTTTTATGAATTTCAACATATGCATTGATTCTATAATGCTACCACCACAATCCGGACACACAGGTTTTTTTTTTTTTTTTGTACCAGGGATTGATCCCAGGGCCATTTAACCACTGAGCCACATCCCCAGCCCTTTTCATTTTTTATTTTGAGACAGGGTCTCACTAAGCTACTTAGGGCCTTGCTAAGTTGCTATGTCTGGCTTTGAACTTGTGATCCTCTTGCTTAACTATCTGGAATTACAGGCACCACTGCACCCAGCTAGCACACAGAACTTCTGCATGAATTATCCCAAAGTACTGCCTTGTGTTGCCCCTTTATAGTCACCCTTGTCCTCACCCCTAACCCCTGGCAACCACTCTTAAATTACACTGTAAAAGAGCATTGAGGTAACGGGCTTAATGAACTCTTTGGTGCCATAAAATAAGATTTATTTTTGATTACATTAAGGCCTGTTAACTTGGGCTGACAGAATTTTTTTTTTATCTTTAATTGATTTTATTTTTTTTAAATACACAACAGCAGTGAAATGCATTATAATTCTTTTTTTTTAATATTTATTTTTTAGTTTTAGGTGGACACAATTTCTTGATTTTGTTTTTATGTGGTGCTGAGAATCGAACCCAGTGCCCCATGCAAGCCAGGCGAGCATGCTACCACTTGAGCCACATCCTCAGCCTCTATTACAATACTTATTACACATATAGAGCACGGTTTTTCATATCTCTGTATATAAAGTATGTTCACACAATTCATGCCTTTATACATATACTTTTGTTTTTTTTACATTACAATTTTCAATACACATATATACCACAATTTTTCATATTTTATTTGTATATAAAGTATGTTGAAGGGAGACTTCGATTATATTTAAAACTTCACTGCACTGCACAATCTCCTGGCTCTCATTGTTGCTGCTTTGAGGTTGGCTGTCACCCTAAGTGCTATTCCTGTAGAGGCGATCTATATTTTTTCTCTGACCTTTGGGATGGTATAGTTTCACTTCTTTGTGTCCAGGGATAGATTTCTATTTTCACTTGAGATTTATTGGACTTCTTGGATGTACTGTTTTTGCGTCTTTCAACAACTCTGGAAAATTTTCAGTTCTTATCTCTTCATGTATTACCTCTTCCCCATTGTCTTCGACTCTCCTCTGAGTATCKGATCAGGTTGAATGCGCTTCTTTTTTTTAGTGCTGGGGATTGAACCTAGGGTCTGTCCACATGAGACAGGTAGGTGCTCGATTATGGAGCTACATCTCTTGTACAACATCAGACTATTTATTGTGTCTTCTTTTTTCTTTTTCATTTTTTTTTTTTTTTTGAGAGAGAAAGAGAATTTTATTATTTATTTTTTAGTTCTCGGCGGACACAACATCTTTGTTKGTATGTGGTGCTGAGGATCGAACCTGGGCCGCACGCATGCCAGGCGAGCGCGCTACCGCTTGAGCCACATCCCCAGCCCTTGTTGTTGTTTTTATTCAGATTTGCTGGGTCATTTTTATACTCTCATTTCTTGCTTTCTTTGACATATTAAACATTTATCTCATATTCTCTGTGAATTTCAATACCAAAAGTCTGTGTAAATTTGGTTCTACTGTGTCTATTTCTGCTGCTCTGACAGTGACTTATTTCCTTTTTTTTAAAAAAAAAAAGTGTTGATGAGTTTATTTTACTTGGAATTGGAAAGAATTTCTTTGAGGCCTGGATCAATTTGGTTCTTCCAAAGAAGATTTTTATTGGCATCTTCCAGTCTCGGGGGGGGGGGGGCATACCAACCTAGGACCATTTGAAATCAGATTATTTGCAGGAGATCTGGGGACAACCCAGGTAGTGTCAGTCTCAGCTCATGGTACTGAGTGTGGTTGTGAAATCTCAAATTAGGCTTTTCCCTCCTTCCACCCAGTGTCAAGGTCAATACTGGTTCTTTCTGTACAATGAGTTTATTATCCATAACATTTTACTTATGCTACAGTCCTTTGGAGTCCCGGGTTTGTTCTGGGGTCTCCTTTAGATTATGTAATATGAGCAGATCTTATGTTTTCCATCTTATGTACTCATGACAACTCTCAGAACTGAAGTTCAAGGTCTTCAACATTCTGCAGTTATCCTTACAGCAAAAACACTGTCTTCGATGTTCCTTAACTCTTGGGGTTCCTGCTTTCACTTCATTTTGTCCTCTGCATTCCTTCCTTGACACTTGGGTGTATTTAAAAACAATAGCCTTTTTTTCAAAAGAGTTCTTTTAATTGCTTTTTTATATTATCCCTTCTGCAGTGTTGACAGACAGGAAATTCCTTCATAGGTATTGTAATGAGTTCTATTTGCAAACTCAGTTTAGGATCGTCCTTCTGCAGAAATACTTATGAATTCCTGTAATTGATAAGTTTAGGAAAAACTTCTGGACACCTGTTCTGTGCTAGGGACCACTATATGCTTGATTAGTGAAGATCTGAAGAAGTGGGGAGGAGCCTTGTAGGCTCTGTAAGGGACAGAAAGGAAGCCACAGGTAAACCAGGGGGTGAGCCCTGGGCCTTCCTCACTCCCATAGTAATGCTGCCATGACTCATTGTATCAGGGTCCTACGTAAAGGTTCCCTGTCATGTGAAGAGTCTGTTTTACAGCCAGACTAATCTACTTAAAAGCCTACATTCTCTAAGGGAAGAAACCATGAGAGAAAAAGGGTGATGGCTTTTTCTAGATCATTCAGCAGAGCTGACCCAGGGCWTCTCCTGGCTCTTTATGCTTATTTTTGGAATTATGGTGGTCAAGTTGCCCATCAGACTTGGGAAATGTTCTCAGAGCTGAAAGCACAGGAAAAATAACAGTTGAGAAAAAAAATGAGGGGTTCATCCCCAGAGAGATTTTACCCCAGTCTTAAGCCTGTCATTAGCAGAGCATCATTGGGGAGGTAACCAGTTGGAAATACATTATTTGTTGGTTTTACAAAATGGTAACCAAAACAGAGCAGCCTAACTGGAGCTCTACAAATACTTTGTTTTGTTTTTAARAAGTCTCAATTCATGTTGAGACACAACAGTCCTCTCCGAGGTTCTTTTCCAGATGGTCAAGTGCAGAGAGCCCTGAGCTCTGGATGCCATGTTTGCCTCCTAAGGACGCCCCARCAGAGAACCAAGGACCCTGTGGCTGAAACCACAGAAATCTATGGTCTTTCACTTCTGGAGACTGGGCATGGTTGGGGTCGAGGTGTGCGCAGGCTGCCTGCCTTTGGAGGTTCTGGGGGAGCATCCTGCCTTTCTTCCTCCAGCTTTGGTGGTTCTGGGTGGCCCTTGGTTTGAGTCTGCTTTGATGCAGCCTCCGTCTCCATCCTGCATGGCCTACTTCTCTCTTCATGTTTCCTTTGTCTGAATTTCCTTGTTCCAGTAAGGGCACCAGTCACATTGGATTAATTGTCCACCCTGTGCCAGTGTGACCTCTCCT